AATTTTCCAAATTTTATTTCGGACGACAGATCGTTATCATTTTGAATCATTGATCGACCCAATTCACTGCAGTGTTTATCGTTTTACGACCCCCCACCTAAGCTGAGTCTTTATACATTTACTTTGTCATTATTTCATGTATACGTTTGGGTAGAAAAGACAAAATTGACCATGTAAATATAGAGTTCTTGTTTCGTTTGGTCCTCCCCGCGTCCCGTGTTTACTGTGCAAAGATCAGTGGTGGCCGGTGGGTGGGGAACATTATATGATATTTATATATATTTTTTTTATTTACGTAATGTACAGTCTGATGTTGCCAACATAATATTATATAGGAACGTTAAAATAATCTGACGACAGAAGTTGTCCGTCCGGCGTGCAAACAAATCGACTTTTATTTTTCGTTTTAAATCGTTCGGACCGAGAAAAGTACACTCGGAACACGGATGGCAGCCGTTGTATTAATAATGTGTTCTGTTCGTATAATGTACAAATATATCTCATTGTAAATCTATGAGGCCGTGTTTCCCGTTCTGTCGCGTACGGCGGATAATTAATTATATTTTTGAAAAATACTGGAATATTATATTTTGTTTTTGTTGAAATCTTTTTGTTTTATAAACAAACGGGCACATAAAATAACGAATGGTGCCCATAGGTATACCTTTACGGAGGTTAATACTTTGGAGGTTTGAACTTTATTGCGGACGTCCGTGATTGTGTTGTTGTTTATTTTTATTTTCATCTGAGAGACGGCATGCTGCGGGGAGACGTGTGGTTTTACATCTCGATTTGAATTAATTTAACTGTTTCATATACCTATCTACTTTTACATTTAAGAGTTAGTAGAAAAATATTATGTTTAATAATGATAACTACAGCAACTGTAAATTGAAATTATCGTGCCAAATAACTGGGGAAAAACATTACTGTACGTTTTCGCACATCATACCTTGATGTAACATTAATTATAATTAATTTTGCGAAACCTGTTCTGCATTGTACTTGTACTGCCGGTGAGACAATCATCATATGTGTGTGGTATTTTGGATACATAAATTAGTACTGTCATAACGGTCCTGAAATATTTGACATTTCATAATGACAGAATAATAGTATATGTATAGGTTCCTATGATAAAAAATAATTCTTCCGAACAAAGTAATCACCTGTTTACGCTGCAGAGACGACTATAATATTATGATAAGCGTCTTCCGAAATACGTCCACATACGGAAATATCTTCTTAACACGTGCTGTCGTGTATTCGCCGTGACGGCACGGGCCAAGTCATAATACTCCCAAAAAATAAAAGATAAAAAGTTCTAAAAATCGTTGCAATCCATTTACGGTTTCTAAAAATAGGACTACGCGTTTCACTTGTGGAATGAAATTTAATCGATTTGCAATATTAAAAAGTAGGCACTAAGAGTTTGCAGTTGAATATGTTGTTTTTTAAGGTGTGTTTCAATTTTTAATCTGCTTATGTACATTGTTAAAACTTAGACGTTGTATACAACTTGCATTCAAACACAAAATTGGTTCTGCTGAACGCAAATATGAATAATATATTATTATGTTGTACGTTTGTAAGACTACAACCGGAGACAACTGCAAACACGCGATAGTGTAGCGATCTTAAAGGCACGAGATTTGATAATATATTATTATATTTAAATAAATCAATTAAAATCTTTAACACGTATCCACGTTGGTTATGACTTAAGGCAGGCTCTATATATATATTATATATAGATACACAACATACTTTCCCATTTTCCCGTATCGCCAGCAACAACACGGGCTAGTGCATGTCTGCTGCGGCCGCGCGAGTTTTTTCGTTAAAACAATAACCCGCGTGCGTCGTCGTCGATAAATAATAAACGTTTTTAATATATTCTCTGAACGTGCTCGGGCGTCGAAAATTTAACTGCGATAAAATAACATTATACGACTACGACGACGACAAAACGTATAATACCTATACCTATAATTTAATCGCGTTTATGATTCGGAGCGTTTTATATTATATATACTTTTTTTTTAATACACGGATACGAGTAATAATAACGCGTGCGGGACGAAATATAATGGTAAAATACATTTCAAATGGAACTCGGACTCGTTTAATTGGCCGGCCGGGCTGGACGTTATCGCAAAAAGACATAATATTATTGTTGTAATGCCTATACGACGACTGCAGTCTAAAAAGAATTTATAATAATACTACTAAAACGAAAACGCTGCACAAGCCGTGCGCGTAAATGACGATAAAATCGAATCTAAATAAAATTGTGGACAAAACGCGCGTAATGATATAGAAAATCGTAGATTATAATATTTTTAAACGAGCGTTGGTCTGGTCTCGTCCTCCGCGATCGATTTAGCTCGTGTCACTTTTTTTTTTTTGGCGATCGGCGTTTCCCACAAAAATAATGATGATAATGTTTATAATAATTAAAGCTCTACTTTATTACTATATACCTATACGCTTATCTGGAGGTAAAATAAGCCAAGCTCGGAGTCCCGAAAGACGGCGGACTCTGCGGTCGTCGAGTTTTTACGTCCGGTAAGCGACCGAGAAGAAAATTCGAACGAGAGAAAGTAAGAGAGAGTGGGCGAGTGAGAGAGAAATAGAACCCTCTCGGCGGTATACCCGGTGGCGAGCCGCGTTGCCATGGCGACCGCCGCAGTCTCCGCCCTTGGTGGTGGCGCCATTAAAGAACGCGCCGTGAATTCCCGAGACGGCCATCCGCGGAGGCCGAGGCAGGGACGCGGTCGCGGCGTGTCATAATTATTATTATTGTCGCCGCCGCCGCCGCACACCTAAACTGTACGCACAACACCCGTGTTGTACTACTGCTGCAGTTAACGCCGCGAATGACCCATATACGCTCGTGCCTATTGTATATTATATTATCGTAATGTTGGTAAATAATTGTACAAGCAGGGACGCATAGGCACGGGTCCTCTGTATATTATCATATTATGTAGTTTACACTATTTTAAACTATTTTAAACGAAATATAATGGATAAGTAAACCCTTGTCCGCCCCAAAGCCTTGACGATCTCCGCCGTGTTACAGGGTGTCTGTTGCAATATACCGCTTAATTCATTTTGATCGGTTGTTTGTTCGTAGCGATTTCTTCGTCTCTGAATCCTGCAGCGCAAGCCCCCTATACTTGCCCAGCGGGAGTGAGACTTTTTTTCAACCAAAGTGAGCATTTTCAGTTCCGATTTGCATTTAATACTGCAGTTTTTGGCTAAACTCCTCCGTTGTTTCCTAAAAAGTCATGTAGGCGCGTGTGGGTACGACCAAACACCGCTCGTGCGCAACATTTTTTACGACCCCGTTGGGCCCTGCATAAATAATAATGATTTTTTAAACGGTTTATCGTCACCTGCAGGTCGACGGAAATGAAGTCCTTCTGGTCATATCGATCTCTTGTCCATTAGACCTCCACAGCACAGTTTCAGACCACGTGTAGGTACTTAGAAATATGCGTCCTATTTGTGTTCTGCCGTTAACAATGGTTGATAAAAATAGTGAGTGTATTATATAGGTATTCGCCTTATAACGCAGATAAGTTTAAAATATAATTCTTATTTCGCAACGGCCACGTGTATTGTTGTTACGACTATGGCGCGGTTGTTAATTATTAATATGCACTGTAAATTCAACATCCTGCTGATTAGCACTCTCTTCTATAAATGGGTGCAGCGACTGCGATAAATATATATTATTTTATATTTATATAATATATAATAATGAGATTTTATATAACTTTGCAGTAATAATATTGCCAGTCAACTTGGCAAGTAAATACCCATGAACAAATAAATGAAAACATGTACCTATGGGTACTAGTGTTGTATGTGTTTTATATTATAGCCTAAACAACTCATTTTATAAAACAACAATTATAACCCCCGTTTCGACTCTATCAGTTTTTGTTTTTCCGTTTCTTCAGAAAGTGCCTGTACCTATTACCTATATTATAGTTGCGAATTATATTAAACTATATATAATTATTATACCTCGTATCTAAACGAGTTGTATACGTGTTTAATCTTTGAAGTCTGTAGATTATAACCGTGGGTAATATTTTTATAAGAGAAAACGACGATCGTTTGGTGTTTAGGCCAATACATCATTATGCTTATGTTTATTTCGTAAACATATTGTGTGTATATTTGGGCGTGATGACCACTATAGTTTTACACTGTTTCCGGTGAAAATTGATTTTTTGGGTACCCGCCTCGATAATCATTGTAGAGGTATATTCTGTCTCGAGGTCGTCCGAGTGGCTATTTTTTTGTATTAGTTTTTTAGTAGAATATCTAATTTGATTGCCGGAATTGGTCACATTATAATATAATGATTTAATTTACTGTTTCTTGTTAAATGTAAGTACCTTCATATTATTAGTCCAGCGTGGTTGTGTTATCTATTGTAATATTACAGTAAACTACTCCAGGTCACTTTATATATTTTTTGTACTCTTAAAACGACCAAAATATGTTGCTCGGCCCGGCAAGTCTATTCGATCCGGACCTGATGCACGCTGTTGTTTATATGTTATTCATGTACTAGGCGTGTATGACGGCGTGTGACTTGACACTTTCACGCTCGAATTATACATCGTGCACTGTTGTTGCGCACATGTATTTTAGACTCGCGATCAATCGCCCTGTATTGTTAACTCATTATTATAGCAGTAACCATATTATGTGCAGTTATATTGTGATATAATATACGAAAAAACCAGACACCCTGCTGCAATGGCTCCATTATAAATTGATTAGTCTAAACTGTTCTCCCCGCACGAGAACGGGTTAGTTAAGATACCTTTAACTTTCTATATTCAGTCCTCTATAGGAGGATTGCCCGGAACCGTGCTAAAGCCGAGCGGACATTGCTCTCTGTATAATGCAAATAAGCACACTACTACTCTTTGAACGTTTAACGAGCGCCTGTTTGCTATTTTTTTTGTCCACAGGTCCAAACGGATGTCCTCGTCGTCGCGGTCGGCAGACGTACACCAGATTCCAGACTCTGGAGCTGGAAAAGGAGTTCCATTTCAATCACTACCTGACCCGGAGGCGGAGGATCGAGATCGCGCACGCCTTGTGCCTGACCGAGCGTCAGATCAAGATTTGGTTCCAGAACAGGCGGATGAAACTCAAGAAAGAGCTGCGGGCCGTCAAGGAGATCAACGAGCAGGCTCGCCGGGAACGCGACGAACAGGCCAAAAAGCAGGATCACACAAAAATGGACGTAGGAGGCGGTGGTGGCGGTGGGATGCACCAGCAGCAACAGCAACAGCAACAGCAGCAACAGCAACAACAACAGCAGCAGCAGCAAATGTCGCACCATCAGATGTCGCACGAACAGCATAAGCTGCAGATGGGCGGCCTGGACAAAGGATCCGCCGACATGCTCAAGGCCAAAACGTAAACGCCGTCAGCGAGCGCGCGTCAACGTTTCGCACAGTAATAGAGTAATGATATAATGATAATAATAATGATTAATTATAATTATGTGTCGCATGATTATTATTGTTATTGTTTCGACAATTGTATAGAATTTCTCTTTCGATTCGAAAAATACGTAAATAATTTATGAATATATATTATATATATTTATCTATATACAAACTATTCTTACATAATATTTATACATATTATATATATTACATTCATAGACTTAATTTAAATAATACCTAATTATAATATTAATGACTAAAAAAAAAAATGAAAAAAAAAATTTAATTAATAAGAAATATTTTGACAAAATAGTATTTTTCTCAATTTATTGTTTCGATACAAGAAACGACGCGAGTTTCACATTCGTAGGCCTACATTTCTATGTCCCTTTTTTACTCGTACTATAAATATTCGATAATAAACAAACACTGGCGATTCAGGACAATTAAAATCGCTTCCCTCGATCGCCGGCGGTCCACGATTGCACAATATTATTACTATTAATAATGATAAATGTTGCAGCCGGTGTCTGGCACGGCGTTCGTCTTCTCTTTGTACCTATTCTTTAAATTATTTTGATAATATTATAATATAATATGATGTTTACTACTTAATTTTTTTTTGTTTTTATATCTATCGTTTTGCGACAAATTATTGTTTTACATAATATTCTGATAATACTAATAATATAATTTATATTATTGGATACGCGTTTCGCGTGACCACAAAAGTATATGATACAAGTAATTCCGTTCTTAATTATATAAGCCAAAAACGCACGGTATCCTCAACCCGGCAGTAACGGAATCGCGGGTCGAACGGCGGCGATAATATTATTGTGGCGGATTGTCGATTTCTCGGGGTCACATGTATTTACCTATCTCCCCCTAAACGCATAGATTTCCATTCCTACGAGGACCGATGCTAACGACCTGTAGACGTCACGATCCTGGGGTTGGAGAAAATTATTCATATTTTTTTTAGTCCTCACCCAATCGGTCTTACGACGACCACGGGTTGATACAACTGGTATACTTTGTTCGGTACTCGAGGATATCGCTGCACCGGAGCGCCCGTTTTTTTGATTCAATTTCCCGAGGTATTTTCAAACGGCGGCCGTCGTTGTTCCTATACTTTGCAAGTATTATTATTATTATAATAATATTATACTTTATCATGTACCTCGTACCTATATAATGTATATTATATGATATTGTGTTTCGTTTGTAATGATACGATTTTTTTTTATCCATTTATGTGTTGTTTGTTATGTCTGATTCGAGTGCGTATGAACCACAACATGTGTCTCTGTGTACGACATTCATTTTTATTTTTTCCTGTTCGATATCATTTTTCGTTTCGTTTAAGTTTCCGAACGGCGCAGTTACGTTTTCGCCGATTTCTTCTGGTTCAAGTTTGTATACGTTATTGTCACCGACGAGTTTTCGTTCACATCTATTACGTTTTTATTTTATCATTTTTCTCTCCCCGTACGTTGTGATCGATATTTTTTAGTTTTTAATACCACGATAATATTGTTTAGCTCGTTCTTTTTTTTTTACGTCCATATTCCTAGATACATATTGTTTCTTTACTTCTATCATTAAGCGTAGTATATTATAATATAATTTGTTTGTTTATAATTTTCATCGTGTAGGGTTTATTTAACGAGTTAGTTACATAAAAGAAAACGATATTGAATAAATCCTGATGTTTACCGAGTAAAGTATTTCCTCCCGACACTTATGTAAATATATTTAGATTAATGCTTTATTAATATTTAATTTATTTTTACAATCTTTCTTTCGATTAAACATAATAATAAACTATTCAATTAATATATATTTAATTATTTTTTTGTATACTACTGAAGTTTTTTTTATTATTTTTATTATTATTATTATTATTATTATTATTATTATTATTTTGTTTTGTTTTCATTTGTATGATATACCTCTATATATATTTTTTTTATTACGCCTATTATATAAATCGGTCGTAATTTCGACAATCTACAACATATAGGTATTTTAGGCCTATCCAAAATTCAAAATTTGTAAACAGCTTCTATAGATATTAAGACGTTTTTCGCGAGCGTTTAGACTATTACTTAGATTGATTGAATAATTTTAAAAATTATATACGTATTAAAATATTGTAATTTAACATAATATATAGGTACCTAATAAGCGTTTATGCATATTATATTTTTAAGGCCATCAGAGACATACTTTGGAAACGATTTTTGTTTATATCCACATATATACGTAATTATAGATTCAGGGTAGGTTTTTTTAAAATTGTGTATAGACTGTCAAAAGTTTATCGAAACGACATAGAATTCCTAAAATAATTTAATAAAAATAATGTGCAACAAAAATATTTTGTTGTCTGATTATAATATTATATGGAAGTATGATATTAATATTCTTATATCGTCATTATTGTTAAAAATAATATATTTTGTTGTTTTACACCAATTTGAACCGTAACGCTAAGTGAAAGTTATAAAACGAAAAACAAATACGTAAATAGCATTAATGAATATAATTATATATATATTATAAATTATAATATAATGTGTGAAAATTCGATCTGCTAAGACTAATATTTTTTAACTATATTTATTACTTATATATAATAATGATACGTTGACTTTTTTTCTCTGTCTAGTGTATGCAGTTTTTAGCGTAGTGTGTTTACGATAATATATATATGTATATATATACGTTTACATATGCGTATATATATAGCGTAAATTATTTTAATGGATGTACTTAATCTGTAAATACATATATAAGAAGTAGTGCGACACTGTAGGCTATTGTTCATTTTTTTTTTTTAAATAATATTCGAAATGTTAGTTTTAAACAATAACAATGTTTTGTTTTTCAAGTGTACAATTTATTTTTATTTTTTTGAAAATTAAACAAGCTTAAATTCAGTGCAATATAATACGTATATTTCTTGAAATTCATCTTTTTGAACGGTGATGTATATTAATTCTAAACCAGTGAAATAGATACTATATATTATAGTCTGCAAACTGGAATCTTTAAGTCGGTGCTTTTTCAGTTTAATTGAATATTACTTTATTATACTGTATTATTGTTTAGTATTATTACGGTTTCGAACGAATCTAAAACGAGCTCTATATGAAAAACCCCATTTCACTGCAGAAAATAAACGAAGCGCGCAATTGCGGTTCACACGATGTGCAGTCGTTTAAAATTTCCTTCAGGAAAACTACAAATTGTTCGTTAAATTTCAATCAGACGATATACCGATCCCACCACCGCCGGATCCAACTAAACTTGGTATAGTGTTTTAAATTTTTATTTTTTATTTAGAAAACTTCACTCGGAGACGAAAATATATTTAATATTTATGTCGTGTTTAATATACGAGTACCTACCGATACTTAATTGTCAACGTGTTCAGTGTTGAAGTACTTATATCGGAGCTCTTAGAACAAAAATAAAAACTATGTGGCGCCGCAATAAACAATAATATACAATGTAATATTCTACGTAAACAATGAATTAAGAAACGCTTGTGTAATAATTATAATAATAATATATTATATTATAGTACGTTATTAAACCTACTTAAAATAATGGGCGGTGCACCTTGTGTGTTGTTCTCGAGTTTTTTAATAGTACAATATGATAAAATAAGAGCTTGTTCATTAAAAAAACTATCTTGGCTAGCGCAGTAAATGTGTTCACATTCCGATGTTGGCACAGTCTGTATTATAGGTACATGGCGCGCGTCGGTAGGTATTATTTATAAATGTTTCATACTTAAAAGATATTTAAGATTCGACACAGATTATTAACGGTTGGTTATAGGTATTTATGCACAGTCGTAGGTTCTCGTCGTTATATTATGGCAAGAACACAATGTTTTAAATATCGCGTTGCTGGTATAAAATAAAAAAATTATAATAACAAATATAATATCGCTGCAGACAACACATTTTAGTATTAACAGCAGAAGGCGACGTTGGCTCAGAATTATTGTCAGGCGTTTATAATTTTTACCCTGTTTATTTACTTGTGGCAGTAAATTGTTCTTTCGAGAAACGAGTTTGACGGTTCCAAATATAAGCTTAAAGAGTAGGTATATCTAAAGGTACCACGAGCTTATGTGTTCAAAACATATTTTTATTTCGATGTGAAAATGAGGCCACGGAGTAAAATTGCTGTCCCGTCGTGAAAATTCCAAAAAATATAGTTTTTTTCTGAGAATATGAACGTCAAACTCTTACTGTATTTTTATTATGCATAAAGTATGACGTGTATTATTTATGTCTACATTTGAATACAAAAAATTGTTTAATAAAATAATTCGAAATATATTTTATTGATTTCTATGTCTAAATAGAAACGTTATTCCTTGCGATTTGTCGTTGCAAGGTTGGAAAAAATTATCCGATACTATTTTCAAAATACTGTACAATCGCTGAACGTTTTAAACTAGTTTTCTGCAATCGAGAGGTCCGTTGTAGATAATCGCGAATTGAAATGTTTGAATGCACCCCTGCGATTTCCATCGCTTCAATCAGCATTCCATTAGCGACGAGTCACGATTAACTCTTTGGAATCGATTATAAATCAATAAAATATGTCTACGATCTGTGCAGTCCATTTGGCTCCCGTCTTACAAAAAGATAAATTCCCAAACTTCTCCTGTTGTTCAAATATATGTAAATTTCAGTAAACAGCCCCCGCATGTAAATTTCAGTAAACAGCCCCCGCATTCGTCAAAACAAGTTCGTTCTCACTTCATACGGACTTGGGATTGTATATCAAAAGAGATGAATGTTTAAAATGTGTTGGTATTATTTTTAAATTGTATATAGGTACAAAGTAAATCAAAGAATTTTTGTTGTCGAATACGGAAGTTGTTTTTTGGAACAAACGTAAACGTGAAACATTTTTCGTCAGGAACCGTTTGGGAACCAACAAACCATGGATGAAGGGAGCAGTCTACGTTGCACCACCGCCGCGGACTATGCCCTGCGAAATGTCGGTGAATCGCAGCAGCCCATAAGCGTTTTTTAGATTATTTTTTTTTTACTTAGTCCACTCCGACATCCGAGTGCGCGGACACGTTTTTTGAGGAATTTTGTTCATGTAGTTTAATAAATAATGAGCGAAGACGACAGGTATAGTTTATACATACTGCAGCAGGTATTATGACGAT